TCCAAACTCCACGGGAAACAGAGACGAAGACCTGTCGGACCGAAACGTGTTGGCTTTGTCGTCGTCGTAGTCGTCGGCGAGGAACTGCGGGGGAAGCCAAAACTCAGCGTCGTCCAAGCTCTCAGCAGCCATAAGTTCGTTTCGGCAAGAAGACAAGGCAAAAGCGAAATTTGAAGAGTGGGTTTTGCTGCTCAGTTAAGACAATAGCAAAGCAAAAGAAAATAAAAACCCTTTGGGCCCTCTCTCTCTCTCTCTCTCTGTTGCAGTGGAGTGTGTAGTCTTGCGCGTCCCAGCAACAACAGAAACACAGAGAGAGAAGGGTAAGGAAAATGAACCAAAACCAAAACCGGAAAAAGGGATTTTAAAAGGAGTGTTTAACAAGAGAAACTGGACTCAGAAATTGGGTTTGTTTTGAGGTATTAATTAGAGAGAGAGAGAGAGAGAGAGAATTTATTTGTAAGAGAGTTGGGAGAAAGCGAGAGATGGTGGGAGGGAGAGAAGCAGAAGAGTCCATCACGCGATTAAAAAAGGAGGTGAAGGGACGCGCGTGAGGTGAAGAAAGTGGGGCCCAGAAAGAGTTGTAACCAGGTAAGAATGAATAGAGAAAGGGGGACCCAATTGAGGGACTTGGGTTTACGGGGAAGGCTTTTGAATTTGGTTTTCGTTGCTTTTGGTGAGGGTGACCAGAAAATTAATCTTGTTTTTATTTTTTATATTTTTTAAAAAAATAAAAAATAAAAATATTTTTAAAATAATGTTTGATACAATAAAAATAAAAAATAAAAATGAAAATAATTTTTTGATTTAATATAAAATAATAAATAAATAAATAACGACTTTTAATCATTTTTTATTTTTTATTTTCGTTTTCTCATCTCTCGAGCAGAACAGAGAGAGATATTAATGGGTTTTCCTATACTTAAAATAATCTCTTGATAAAACTACCAAACGCATTTTTAAAAATAATTTCTGTCTGAGATTGAAAACGTTTTTATTTTCATTTTCATACAAAAAATAAAATCATTTTGAAATGAGTTCTAAACGCGCCCAAAATCTTTACAAAATTTACTCGTTTAGTTTATTGATTTGAGTTTTTAATTTGAGTTGAGATATAATTTTATGTGAGAATTTTTTACTGTAATATCTTTACAAAATTACTCGTTTAGTTTGTTAATTTGAGTTCTTAATTCAAGTTAAGATGTAACTTCGTATAAGAGCTTTTTATTATAATAAAAAAATTAGATATAACTGTTTTTAATAATTTTTTATTATATCAAAAAATTCGAAACTCGTAGGATGATTGCTTTTGGTGAGGTGTGACCTGTGAGTGGGAGTGTGGGACTGTGGAGGGGGTTTGCTTATAGATCTAACTATGATATGATATGATTATGATTCATATGATCATGAATATGATCCATTCTCTCTCTCTCTCTCTCTCTCACCCATCGCTTTCTGATATGTTTTCTCGCCTTATTTCTCTCTTCTGTTTCTATGGCACTAACTTAGGGCAGTGGGGTGGCCCACTCTCTTACCACGTTCGCTTAGCTGTTGGGGCATTTCAAGCCACTACAATACACTACACACCAGTCAGTTTGACCAGGAAAAAAAGATACACAACACATTTTTTTTTTAAATTATTATTTGTATACACACGGTCTCGTTTATTTCGTTGATTTAAATTTAATATCCAAAATTTATTACAGTAAAAAGCTCTCATAAATAATCACATCTAATTTTTTTATTACAGTAAAAAGCTCTCATATAAAATCACATCTCAACTCGAATTAAAAACTCAAATCAGTGAACTAAATGAGCCTTTTTGTATATACATATGCATATTTTCTAAGGGTTATGGTCCTTATAGAAACCCAAAAAGAGAAAGGGACAAATTCTAATAACGGGAATAATACGAGACCTGAAAACATCGTATGCAAATAAATGTAGGAATTATTTACATCTCCTAGTTCTTATTCTCTTGTAATTTTTTTCTTAGGCCAAAATATATTGATAGTCATGAAAAATAATTAATATCAAAGTTGGGCTTGCAAATTGATAAAGATTTGATAGTTAAAAAATGTGTTTTGATATCGGTGGGTACTATTTTTATGGCTCTTATCAAAAAACTTTATAGAATAAAAAATTTTCAAGCAATCCATTTCCTGCAAAAGGCCTGTGGTAAACTAGTAAGATCAGTGCTCAGCAAAAAAAAAAAAAAAAACAAAAAACAAAAAAACAAAAAATTAAGATCAGTGCCAAATTGTGGCAGAGTATGTCTTATGTTTAAAAAGATTACGTTCATTTCACTAATTTGAGTTTATAATTTAAGTTTTGTTATTATTACAGTAAAAAGTTTTTCACATAAAGTCGCATCTCAACTCGAATCAGCGAACTAAATGTGTCTTAATATTTAAAAAAATCAGCCATTTACCTTATAAACTGGCTTTTTGACCGTGCCTATTTTTGTGAAACATCTGTTTTACTCTTCGAGAATAATGGTATCCAATAACAGACGTTATTTTCTTTGATTTATGAAAGTCACCATTAATATTTACTCTTTCTTTTGTCCGATTGGATGCGTGTTTATTAAAGTTTTGCTGATTCGAGTTTAGAATTCAAGTTTTACTACAATAAAAAGTTATCAGAAACAGTCATATCTAACTTTTTTACTACAGTAAAAAGCTCTCATACAACATCACATATCAACTCGAATTAGCGAACCGAACGGGCCCATTTTTAATATGAAAGTAAGCCCTACACTGTTTAAAAAAAAAAAAAAAAAACCTGTTCTTTTGAAAGGGCTAAGATTTTGTTTGTCGCTGTTGATTAATCAAGGCTTATGTTTAAGTTATAATATTCCCATTTGGGATTAGGAATTCCGCTCTTCTTTTCGTGGTTTATCAATAAAGAAATCAATCTTGTTTTTATTTGATCAATCTGATCTCAAAAGTAATATGTGTTTTGTTTTGTTTTTTTTTCTTTTCTTTTTTGCAAGGAGGGTCGACATACGCCCCCACTTTCTATCCTAATGTTCCATTTTGTTGGATAATGCCTTTTGTAACTGAATATTTTATGGCATAAACATTTTTTTATGGCCTAAATAGTTCGTGCTTACAAATACTCGATTTATGTAATATTATTAATGAATTAATTAAAGGGGGGGTGGTCATCAGAGACAGTGAGAATCAACGATTTGATGTTAGAAATGAATCTTTGTTAGGTTTTCAAAATTAACGCTTTGACAGCGTAATCAAATCTAGCATTATCATTTTCTCACACACAATTGGTGACGAATATATTGCGTATTTAATGATATCGATGATTTGGATACACGTTTATAGTTCATAAAGAAACTGTGATTATATGCAAATATATAGTTTATATATATATATATATCCTTTTTTAGTAGATTATACAAATAAAATAAAGCGATATTTCTGTCTATGACCTTAGTGTGAAAGAAAATAAATTTTTTTTTTTAATAGACATTGTCGTACAAACATGGAAAAAGCATAACAATTGCCTCTGGTAGAAACTAGAAAGTGCTTAGCATTTTTTTTATTTTTAAATCACAATAGTACCCCTACCCTACATTTTAAAAAAAAAAAAATATTGATACGTTACGTTTTTAAATATCATTAGAAAATTAAAAAAAATAAACAAAAACACATAAAAATTAAACCATGATTTGAATCATGGTTCATGGTTCGCTACAGTGTTTTCTCTCACAAAAAATACACGTAAATTGAAAATAATTCTAATCACATGATTTTAATCCATGAACCAAACGTACTACAAACAATTCACAAACCTCGCCCCAAACCTGCTCGTGCAATAATTCCATTCGAAAACTCTTCTCCTTCGTATGTCTCTAATCGGATATTTTTATTCTTACAATTTGTGAGTTAAATTGCTCTACAGTTATGGGTTCTCAACTGTTTTTCATATGTGGGAATTACGTGTGATTTTTTTTTTCCCTAGCTGCAATCGTATTTTGTAGAATTTGTTGTTTTGGTGCAATGGTTGTTGGGAAATAGGAGACTGTAAATATTTTTCGTCTAGATTTTATATTTCTTTTATTTTTTTATTATGCTACTATTAAAATATTATTAAAGTACCAAGAACCAAAAAAAACGTTTGCAAAAAACACAGAATGCTTCATTCCTTTTTTTTCCCCTAAACATGAGAATGAAAAAGGTTGAGCATTGGCGGAAGAGAAAAGCGGGTTACTATAAATTATTTTGCAGAAATATGGATTGTTACGAATTAAATCCTAAAATTAATAAAGCTATAATAAACAAAATATGATAATAACTAAAGAAAACTTACATAAAATTTACCTTTTTAAAAAAGGGCATGACTACTGTACTGTTTATTACGGATTCGTTATGGATACTGATTCTTTTTTTTGGAATTGTATTGAAAATCAACAGTCTTAAATCGTGATTTCATAGTAAGAAAAATAAACACAACCACATTTTTTCTAATCAACTAATAATCAACCACCGATAGTGATGGCCATGAACTCTCGAATCGTGACTTCTCCTTCGGTTATGGTCACGACGGAACAACCACGAGTGGGTCGAGATTACTACTACCACGAGATCATAAGCTTTTCAAATTTAGGTCACCAACGACATCCTAACTGGAGACGACATAGGAGATCTGATCTCTTTTTTTTTTTCCTTTAATTTTTTATTATTTTTCGGGTGTAATGAATTTGCATTGGTGCAATCATGTGTATTTTGTTTCAATGGGATAATATCATCACGACCATTCAATTTTTATCTTGCACACGGAAAGTCCATTATCAATAACGCGAAGGCATATGAGGTATGTTAGCATTTTCCTTTAAAAAATATACCAAAAAAATTTACGGTGATTCATTCTTAAGAACCAAATCTACTTTTATACTTGCAAATTTTCACTTTGTTTAGAATTAAATGTTCATACAATATCATTGTCA